ATTTTTGGTATATTTCTTCATAATTGAAATATGACAATATTATTCTGAAATGAGGCTTTTATCACTATTATAAGAACACAAGTTTGCACTAAATTTGTAAAGGGTGGTAAAGTTTTTCTCTGTTGGTGTCTGTCTCAAACGTAAAACTTTGTATTGATATGGCATCTCTAATTGACCCTTCACATACATTCTGCTGTGATTTTATCTGCTTTTAGTTGGGTGTTTGCCCTGGAGAGTGTTGATTTAGAGAACTGTATGACTCCTGAGGACCGATAAGTGCGCTTACAGTCAGGTTATTACCTTTCCGTTTAGATCCAGCACTGCGTGAAGCTTTACGTTTCAAACCAGATGTTACACATTTACAGAGTTGATTCTGCTGTAATTCCTTCACTGACTCCCTGCAGTGTTAGTCTCTGTTCACACTTCAAGATTCATTCTTCAGCTATTTTGAAACCCTAGCTCAGGGGTCTCCAAACTCGGTCCTGGAGGGCCGGTGTCCTGCAGAGTTTAGCTCCTACTTGCCTCAACACACCTGACTGGAAGTTTCAAGTATACCTAGTAAGACCTTGATTAGCTGGTTCAGGTGTGTTTGATTAGAGTTGGAGATAAACTCTGCAGGACACCGGCCCTCCAGGACTTAGTTTGGTGGCCCCTGCCCTAGCTTGTCTACAAACTCTTTATAATATAAAATAGTCAGATGATAGAACTGGAATTTAATCAGAGCAGTATTTTTGTATCACAACATTAATTAAATGCAACTTAAAAAGATGCATTTGAACGTAATAAACTAAAGTTGAAAACAGTGATGAACTTCAGCTTTTCTCTACGTATTTTACATTACAGATTACATTTTTATTATTATTATTTTTAATGTCCATATGAACAACTTTCCACATTGATACTAATATTTTGAAAACAGTTAATATCAGCATCTATTACTGTCATGTATTAAGTAGTTTTTTTCTGTTCTATGCTATTCTATTCTATTCTCATTAATTATAATAATTATTTTGTTATTTTATTTTTATATAATTATATTTATCATATTTAGTAGTTTATTTTAGAAAATATGTAAAAAATATAATTATAACTAATAATAATATAACACTTTATTGTATATAATATAATATAATATAATAGTTTGTATATATGTAAAATGGCACATGCATTCCATGAAATTTATTCAAACAGCTTCTGTGAAAAGTTTGCTGAAAGACTACAGTTCCCCCAATGCAACTATCCATGACCAACCAAAAGAGATACGCCGTTTTGTCTGAAATGGCTTCCGCTGTTTTCGCTCCACAACAGTCCCTGAGATTGAATGGGATTCCAGTTGGCAGTTTAAATCGCAGGGTTTGCCAAGAGACCCATTTCATTAATAAGTGAAGCACAGCACCTGACATAATGGCACTCAGAGCGTCAGTTAAGAGAGTGTTGTGCAAAGTCACCCGCCGCTGTGGACAGACATCAAGCGCACGAGGCCAGAGCTAAACACTGCATTAATTAATACACATCTGCTGTCCTCATAGAGCCGCAAGGTGTGTCACAGGTGAGCAATCAGTGTTACCATCATTTCAGCAGATTGCAGTGTACATAAACATAAAATATGAATGTTTTAATGAGGCGACATTCACTGGGAGATTTCTACAGACAATCAGGACAATTTATTGAAGTGTTGTGCAAAGTCAACCGCCGCTGTGGACGGACATCGAGCGCACGAGGCCAGAGCTAAACACTGCTTTAACTAATACACATCTGCTGTCCTCACAGAGCCGCAAGGTGTGTCACAGGTGAGCAATCAGTGTTACCATCATTTCAGCAGATTGCACTGTCTATAAACATAAAATATGAATCTTTTAATGAGCCGACATTCACTGGGAAATTTCTACAGACAATCAGGACAATTTATAGAGCGACGGTTCCTGCCAGTTTCTCGCTTCATTTCACTTCCCCCTTCATCCACGTCCAAACTGCGTTTAAAGTCACCATGAAATCAAAATTGAAAATTCTTATTTTTTAATGGAATACTGCAGTGTTTATTATAAATAATGTATCCGTGCACTTCATTCTTTTTTTTTAATTCATGTGCCCTCGTAATCTTTAATCAAAAACGTTAACCTCCCCTCCCCCTCAAAACGACTCATCTTCTCTTCCAGTCACCAGCTATGGCGCTAGGGCGGAGCTAGTGACGTGAGGGGTAAACGCTGGGATAAAGGACAAGGGGAAAACAGTGTTGCCAATTTAGCTACTTTGTAGCTAGATTTAGCGACTTCCCCGCCCATTTTGAGACTTTTTTCAAAAGTTTAGGAACAAATATAGCAACTTCTTGGACAAACCTTATCTAAGTTCTCATCTTGCCCACTGATCTATATTCATCTTTATATAGATCAGTGAATTTGCCATTGTGATGTCATCTAGTGACATTTAGCTACCA